GGAATTCGAAATTTAATCGACTTTGCCAGCTGGGCCACATAATGAGAGAAGATTATCAAAGTAGAACTAATGCATAAAATGCTTTTGGGAAGAAATTGAAGTAGGGGGAGTCGTTGACATCGAATCCAATCTCCCCATCAAGCCAAAATGGAATAGGGTGTGCATCAATATACTTGAATTACAAACAGCAAAAAGAGTTAACTTCTGTTTGCAATTTCTTTCTAAATTTTTGAAAACTTAATTGTAGTTAAAATTAAACTTAATTATAAGTGATGTGTCGTACGCTAAATCGCTAAATTATTGTAATAGTGTAAATTTAACAAAATGCTAGTAACTTACATAAAGTCTAAATGTAGAGATTGATATCTTATATTTTTCTAGATGGATATATGCGTTTGGCAACATTCGTTTGGTTGTGCCTGAAAAGCTGCACCATATTAAACAATATTCTGGTGGACTAAGGGCAGCCATCAATTTCACCATTTAAATTTTATTTTCTTTAGAATAGTCAAACCCCAACATGTAGTGCTCACTGCTAAGGCCTATTTTTCTTAGAAAAAAACTAAGAAAACTCTCTCAAAATTGTTGGAAAACAATTCAGAAATAAACAATATAACAGAAATAAACAGAACTTGAAATTTACTATTTTATTTCACAAAAAGTATTTGCTATACAGAATGAAAAGTATACAATAAATACAGAAATTAATATAAGAATATCAATAGTACTAACTTGATTACAGAAGGTAGAGGCTAGCGTAAAAGCTATGTCCTTCGAACAGTAATTCCGTCCCACTCTTGTGCTTGTGGTTCTATAACGTCTGCTCGACCAGGATACAACTACCTAATCCTACAACCCGCATTGGATTATAGAATTCTAGCGAATTGCTTTGTGTGTTTACTCTCTCTGGAAAGTTTGTACGGAAGAAAAGGAAGAAGAAAAGATGATAGATAATGAACTGAGGACTCCAGTTATATAGGCTCTTTCATACCTCTTCAAATACCTTTTGGATGTATCTGAAGCTTTACAACTCTCTACAAAAGGTTGTATCTTTAATCAAAACGTTTTTAATTAATTTAATTAAAAACTTAATTCAAAATTGAAACTAATTGATCAGATTAATTTTAATTCTTAGGCCCCAAGTGCCCCAAGGCCCAAGGCCCTTGTCTTGATTAATTAATATTAATTTATATTAATATTATGGTATAATCATCAAGCCCAATCCACAGAAATGGTGGCCCAAGCCTCAATTCCCATTCCAAGTGGTCCAACACATAACTAATATTGTAGAAGACAAAACATATATAAAGGTACGTTGGAATCTTGTTTTCACCAATGTGGGACAAGAGTCTCAAAACTTCCAACAAAAATGACTCTCTAACCTACTTAAATTAATGACATGTGTTGTATTATTATAAAGTAATACAGTTAGAAATACTGTTTGTAATATAGTTAGTAAGGTTGTTAGTATTTAGTTAAAAGTAGTTAGGATTTCTCTTATAAAAACAGTATGTGTAATCTTCATTTAGTCAGTTAAATACAAACCCTATTTCTTTTTCTAAACTCTCTCTCTCTCTCTCTCTCTTTCTCTCTCTTTCTCAAACTCTTTGTATTCATCATTCTGTGTTCATCCTTTCTTCTTGATTTTCCCTTCAATTCCTAAACATTGCAATGTAGTTAACATGGTATCAGAGCCACCTGGCTCACACCATGGATTCTGGTGGTTCCGCTTTTCATTAGATTTCATCGTTTTCATCATTTTACTCTTTTGAAAAGTTCTACAATTTTATCATTTTACCCTTTTGAATTGCTGATACTGTTAATCGTCCACACTAGGAATCTTTTGTTTTCATCCAATTCTAATCGATTTTAGATTTTGGGTTGTTGAATTCCTATCTGGGTCGTGATTGATTCGATGGATTTGGCTCTGTTCATGCAAAACAGGAATCAAGAACCTCAAATTTTCATCTGGGTTTCTTTTATTTCAGTCTATTAAGAGTATCGCGCTTGAAATTTGGTCTGGGTCGAGGCCAAGTTTTGAAATTTTGGTGCTTTTTCACTCGATTGGAGCTTATTCCTCTTTGGTCTTCATGTTATTCACCCTAATGGATGACCAGGAGGTGTTTCCGGGTGCAAACATGGGTGGTGAACTTGCGTGTAGTTGCTCAATGGACAGCTTTTTTGATGACTTCTTAAGGACACTCATGCTTACATTCACGCCCACACTTGCAACACACCTGGCCCTGATTACTTTCGATGTGCTATCTTGAATGGTTGCTGATCTCCGGTGTGTTTTCTGGGCTTTTTCGCTCAAGAACTGAAGATTCAGGTTTCATCTTTCTTTTTGCACTCTAACTATTTGTTTGATTGTCTCAGTGGAAAATTCTGTGTTAATTTGTGTATTAAGGCTGATTGCCATTTACTAATTTAGAAGAATATGAAGGCCGATTGCCATTTCCTCTAAGTGAAAGATTGATTAGTAGAATTTGAAGGCCAATTGCCGTTAATTGATTGAAAAGAAAATGAAGGCTGATTGCCATTGATTTGTTGGATATTTTACATTTAAAAAGGCCGATTGCCAAGAGTCTACTAGTTCAAGATTCTGAAAAAGTTGTTCATTTGTTGAAACTATGTTCATTGGTGAAGATATATCGTCAAGCAATGTTAAAATTGAGAGTCTTTTGGGTTTCAACAAGGTGGAGGAGAAAACTTGAAATAATACAACTTGTAGAAATTCATTCTTTTGCTGCTGACTACAATACATATGATCTTCTTTGTGGCCAGATAAGGAATGTTTCTCCAAGACATGCACCATGTTGATGCACAAAACCGAAGGGGTCTTGGAACAACATAAATCCGACCGTGAATCTGCAAGAAAGTAAAGAACACAAGATGTATCGTGGTTCACCCCAATGTTTGGGTTACGTCCACACTGATATTGTATTTCTCTGTTTGTGAGAGGATTGTGAGGGAGATAGAGCTTTTTATGTGAGGATGAGCTTGAGGTTTGTGAGGGTGAGGAGGCCCTTTTATAGAATAAGGGCTCCTCACTTATTACATATTTGCCACTCCATTTATTACATAATTACATTTGAGTCTCCCTAGTATTTATACGAGATCTAAATACGGAGGCCCTAAGTATGGTACAAACAGTAGTCCTCCAAGTCTTCAGTCCATGTGTGGGCCGAAGTAACTAGATGTCGTCTTGAACTGACATTCGATATGAGGCGATGCTCAATCTGAAATGATGCTCAACTAGAAGTAGCACATGTTGTGAGGCTGCTCTATTTGTGGCTTATGTTGCCTGGGTTGGCTCGGCTTGTGGCGTTGAAGGTGAGGGAGTCCCTTTTATAGAATAAGGGTTCACTCCTCAATACATAAATGATGGGCTAGAGTTGATGCTCGCGGCGAGTCGGTTGCTCAGCAGGCGGCGATGTTCTCTAATGATGGTGAGGGAGTCCCTTTTATAGAATAAGGGCTCGCTCTTCAATACATAAGTGATGGGCTAAGAGTTGATGCTAGCGGCGAGGCGGTTGCTCAGCAGGCGGCGATGCTCTCTAATGAAAGTGAGGGAGTCCCTTTTATAGAATAAAGGCACGCTCCTCAATACATAGGTGATGGGTTAGGAGTGATGCTCGCGCCGAGGCGGTTGCTCAGCTAGCGGCGATGCTCTCTAATGAATGTGAGGGAGTCCATTTTATAAAATAAGAGCTCGCTTCTCAATACACAAGTGATGGGTTAGGAATGATGCTCGCGGCGAGGCGGTTGCTCAATTGGCGGCGATGCTCTCTAATGAAGGTGAGGGAGTCCCTTTTATAAAATAAGGGCTCACTCCTCAGTACATGAATAATTTATGCTCTCTAATGAAAGTGAGGGAGTCCCTTTTATAGAATAAGGGTTCGCTCTTCAGTACATAAATAATGGGCTAAGTCCTCCAAGTATTTTTCATGAGGCCCAGTTGTGGAAGCCCAATATATGGTACATAGTGTAGTCCCCCAAGTCTTCAGTCAATAGAGTCTGTTAGCTGGAAACTTCAAATTGAATCCATGTATGGGCCGAAGTGGCGGTTGTTCAGAGGCGGTATTTTTATACCCTGCACTGAAGCTTTGTAGGTGAAGCTTTTGCAAGTGAAGCTTTGAAGCTGGAGCTTTTGTAAATGAAGCTTTGAAGTCGAGGCTTCGTAAATGAAGCTTTCGAAGCTGATTGATATGAGTGATGCTCATGAATGTTTATATGAGTGATGCTTATGAATGTTGACATGAGTGATGCTCATGAATAATGTTGACATGAGTGATGCTCATGAATGTTGACATGAATGATGTTCATGAATGTTTATGTATGATTGACATGAGTGATGCTCATGAATGTTTATGTATAATTGACATGAGTGATGCTCATGTATAATTTTGGAGTACTGGACGTACTTTTGATCACCTGGTTGGTGATAATAGCGGCAGGGTGCCGAATAATTTTGGAGTACTGGGCGTACTTTTGATCACCTGGTTGGTGATAATAACGGCAGGGTGCCGAATAATTTTAGAGTACTGGACGTACTTTTGATCACCTGATTGGTGATAATAGTGGTAGGCTGTCGAATGATTTTTTGTAGTACTGGACGTACTTTTGATCACCTGGTTGATGATAATAGAGGGCCTGGCTCTTTTGGGCATATGGGTCTTTGGCCTCCACATAACATTCCAGCCCATTATTTTGGGCTTTGCCATTTTTTATTTATATTTATATTTATATTTATTATTATTATTATTATTATTATTATTATTATTATTATTATTACCCTCTAATGGGGTTATACAGATGTCTCCGAAAGATAAATAAATCACATCATTCAAAAATAAATCTGACCTTCTGCTCAATGGGTCACGCCCATAATTCCCTTTTCTGCATGCCATCACCACCGCAATTATGTCTGCTTCTTTTTATCTTCTTTTGCTTTCTGCTTTTAGTTTCTGCTTTTCTTTCTGCTTTTTCTTTCTTCTTTCTACTTTTATTTTTCTTTTCCAATGCACCTTTCAATGTATCTGTCTCTGCTTTGTTGTCATGCATGTGCACACTATCTTTTGCCGTTACTACTTTGTCAGACGCTCCAATTTGCACCTTTTTGAGGGCCCATAATTGTACTAACACCACATCTCAAAATACTTGCAGTACATTTCTTTCAAATCCAGTGGTAAATCCTTCAGTTCACCTTTCTCGATTCCAGCTTCAGAAAGGAACTTTTTCAAGGTTTCGGAGAACCCATTGTTTTCTAGGAACCGAGCCACGGCGCGGAGGATAACAAAGGAACTAACACCTTTAAATCTAGAATCCCAAATAGCATATTACACAATCCAGAATAAAAATAATCCGGAATAGTATAATCAGATAATCTCAGCATCCAAACAGCACAAAATTAACCAGAAGAGCGGCCGGAGAAATCACTTATCTTTGGTGGAGACGCCGTACTTCTCCTGCATCTTGGCGATCTCTTCCTCTTTCTTCTTCGTGTCTGACTTCTTGCCCATCTTCGCCTGCTGGTAGTAGAGCACGGTGAGGTACCGGTTCGCGACGTTGAAGCCGGAGAGGTGATCCACCGCCGTTTTGGTGTCGTAGATGTCCTCGTAAACGACAAATGCGGTGCCTTTGGTGTCCTTGTTCGTCTCAATGCGAATCTGCCGTATTGCGCCGTACTTGCCGAAGATGTCGTACATCTCATTTCTCGAGATGTTGAAGGGGAGGTTGCGGACGTAGAGCATGCGGTTGACTTCCGGATGGAGGCGGGTGTTGACTTTAACTCGAATCTAGAGCAGATGGAAGGCCTATTGCGTCATTCCAGATCGACAAAACCTTGAGTTCTGCGTAGTTTCCAGGGTTTTCCGATTCTCCTTCGGTGGTGGTAGTGGGGGTGGTATTTCTTTTAGCTTTTGAGAGAGAGAAAGTGTAGAGAAAGAGAGAGAAAGAGATGGCGTCTATAATCCAGTTGCGCCTCTGATGGAGTTTAGTCTAAGCAAGAGAAGGTGGATCGGAAAGTAAATGGAAAAGCACTGGCAGTGAGGAGGACAAATTAGAATATTGGTGTGGTGTTTGGTTCTCTTGGGTTTTTACAGATTTTGCAAATCCACGGCGAAGGTGAAAAAATGAGAGAGAACCGACACAGCTTTTCGTGTCGTTTCCCACAAACGGAGCCAAATGTTGATGCACAAACCAGAGGGGTCTTGGAACAACGTAAATCCGACCGTGAATCTGCAAGATAGTAAAGAACACAAGATGTATCGTGGTTCACCCCAATGTTTGGGCTACGTCCACACTGATACTGTATTTCTCTATTTGTGAGAGGATTGTGAGAGAGAGAGAGCTTTTTAGGTGAGGATGAGCTTGAGGTTTGTGAGGGTGAGGAGGCCCTTTTATAGAATAAGGGCTCCTCACTTATTACATATTTGCCCCTCCATTTATTACATAATTACATTTGAGTCTTCCGAGTATTTATATGAGATCTAAATACGGAGACTCTAAGTATGGTACAAACACACCAAATATTGTGGTGAATATAGATGCTATAACAATTGTTTTTTAGGAGGCTTCAAAAGGTGGACAATCCTTATCATTACCAATTGCATGTATAGAAGCAGGAAATGATCACAGTTTGTCAAATCTAAGGTTATTGTTTGACAAGCAATGCCGAAGTATTGACCATTGTTCCTGAATACAGGTGAAAAGTACCACCAACATTTCCATGCATACCAAGTGATAACTGTGAATAGTGCAATTGTTGTTGTGGCTTGTTAAATACTTGTGTAGGAATTGAGGAGCACTTCCTTTCTTGATCCGAAGCTACCATACAAGAATGAGGTATTTGACTGACTTGCATTCCATGAGAATCTAAGAAAGATTTTATCTCTGAAAATTTTCTAGCACTGTTTTCAACTGGATGCCTTGAATTAGTCTGAACCTGAACTGTTGAATGAAAGAATAGTGCTTCAATTGCTGATTAGTACGCAATTATGGTATCATGTCGATGCAACTACATTGAGTCAAGATTTTTTTTTTTTTTTTTTTTTTTTGAAACAGCCAACAAATTGGTGTCCTGCTGGTGAAGTTACTATGTAAGTCCTTGAATTTCTGTTGTCTCGTCATTGGGTTTAAATTGTTCATAAGCTTATCTCAGCCTATAATTTCAGAGTCTAACCAACTCAGTTGTTAGCATGAATCTATAGTAAGTCTGGTTATACGATGAAGTTTGAAGAAATTGTTAACAGTAAATCCCACGAAGGGTAATCCCGTGTTTTGAGTAGGTAAATCCCACGAAGGGTAATCCTACATTGATGTTGATTTTCAGTTGTGAAGGCCGATGTCATTGTTCAAAGAAGTTGTTTTTTTTTTTGGTAAAATCCTCAAGGGGCGATCCCGTGGTGCTATAGTTAAGGCCGATGCCACACTATAGTGTGTTGATTTTCTATTTTTTGAAATATTAAAGGCCGAAACCAAGTTGAATGAGATTGTTGACAGTAAATCCCACGAAGGGTAAACCTGCAAGAAATTGTTATAACCAGCATGAGAGTGTGTTACAACTTTATAAGAGGTTGTCATTTGAGAAACTCTTGTTAGAGGCAGATGAAGGGTGTTAATTCCAGCTACTGTTATTCTTCTACCATTTTCAATGTTCTGATTCTCTATTTCAGCAGAGGACTTACAGAATTTTGGGCACTGATAAGACTTTGAAGGCAATTGATGGATAGATATTGAGTTTGTGCGTCTAGTCCAAGTATGAGACCATTGTTTGTGACTGATGGAAACCGAATTATTAGCCGCAAGTGGGGATCATTTCAAGTCTCAGATTGGGATCAAGGAAAATAAGTTGCATAAGCAAAGCCTATTTGGAAACTAATGAAAATACATGTGGGGTACCTCCATAACCAAAACTTGGTTATTTAGATCTGCCCAAGAAGATGAAAAGTAAGACAGGAAAGGGGCAGCATGGAAAATTGAGCAGTGCTAGTAAATTGCAATTGGTTCAAGTCTATTCTGTTTTCTGGGTTTTATAGTAGCGATTGTAGATGTTCTTCCAATCTCAAACTGGGTTTCCCCAGTTGAGATTGAGGGGGAGTATTAAGTAATACAATTAGAAATACAGTTAGTAAGGTTGTTAGTATTTGGTTAAAAGTAGTTATGATGTATCTTATAAAAACAGTGTGTGTAATCTTCATTTAGTCAGTTAAATAGAAACCCTATTTCTCTCTCTAAACTCTCTCTCTCTTTCTCTCTCTCAAACTCTCTGTATTCATCATTTTGTGTTCATCATTTCTTCTTGATTTTCCCTTCAATTCCCAAACATTGCAATGTAGTTAACGATTATTAAATTGAAGAGTACATACAATTTGGCCTAACTCTACCTACTAATGTCGAAACCAAACCCTTGACGATGGCATGTATATATCACGATAAACTGAAGAATTAGGGTTTATATATATATTATTTTTTATTTTATCAAATGATAGATTTGTTAGATTAGATTTGCTAGTGGAAAGTGGCACACATGTGCTTTTAAAGATTAAATTTGTGGATCTTAAGGATCAATGATTTTCTGCCAATTTTTCTTTGAGATTAATTTCTTATCATTGCATGCGGTGGCCTTTTATGGATTCTAATTCAAAGTAATCATAATTAGCACATACCGAGAGATTCCATAATCACATATGTCCTATTTAATTTAAAGCATATCCAATGTACTTTTAATTTTTAAGTTAAATTTAAGGAGTCATGCTCCCTAGTAACGCATAGTTGTAGTTTATTTGTTTAACTTCTTAAATCTTAACCTAAGAGCTTAATAAGTTCCTCCTTTAGGAGGTGGAGAGAAAGCATAATTGTAGTTTGTTTGTTTAACTTCTTAAATTTTAGCCTACCAGCTTAATTAGGGAGTTCACTGAATACGCTCTTAATATATATATATATATATATATATATATATATTATGCATAATATCACTATTCTTTTATTCGGACGTCCAAATTATTACAAAGGGCTTATTTGAAAATGCTTATGGAAATGTAGCCATTTGATCGTGTTTGACAAAAAAAATTAAAAGTGCTTTTGGATCATAGCATTCTAGAGAAGCACCTTCCAAATGCTTCTTGATGAATCACTTCCAAGTGTAGGACTTGAATTTTTAATAAAAAAAATTCAATGTGTTTATGATGAAAACACTTTAATTAAAGTGCTTACAAGTAGAAATACTTTCTATAAAAGCAATTTCAAATAAGCCCGACGTTGCAGACGCATTTCATGTATCGCTAAATGCATATACAATATTCAACCAAACCAATCGAACTCTATAGCAATACAACATTAAAGTTAAGACAATCATTGGTCCTGAAACTTAAGCTCCTATCATTGGTCCCAAAACTTAAGATCCTTAAAAAAAAGGGTGAGAAATGAAGACTGAACCCAACACCTTATGCAAACCTCTGATTACCATATGCTACTGACTCTAAAAGAACAGAGCCATATTTAGGGAATGATCAGTCCCCAACGTTAAAATCTCATAATCCGGCAAACCGAACCATAGGCGGAGCCATGGAAGGACTAGGATGATCCCAGAACCATCTTGATATTTTTTACATGAAAAAATCTAGTGCTATGCTTATGATTTTCAAGGTTTTTTCATAGGCTCAGAGCCCCAATCCGACGTTTTTACTCTAATTTCTTTCATTGGGTTTGATTTGAGGTTGGTGACTCTTATGGACTTCAGGCAATTCGTTGCTTGTAAGCTTTGAGGAGGACTTTGATCTGGGAATCAATATAACGTCAAAGAGGTTTGGGGTTTAGGTTTAAGGAAGAGGATGATAAGATGGACGCCATACCAGACCTAAACAACGTTGGTAGGTTGCTCACGACAGGGTAGATTAATTTTTGTAAGATTCAGTGAGCGTTTCGGATTTCAACATTTGGGCCCTTCCTAGACTAAAATTCTGGCTCCGCTACTAAACCAAACCGTGTAATTATTTGATGATAAATAAGACATGGAAGGAAAAATTGACGTGCGACAAGAACCCTAATGGACAATCGATTAAACTTGGAGATAAACAAAGAACCAATAGGGAATATATATTGAGGTTAACTTCCGTGCTCTTTGGTACATGCAGCAGACTTCTACAACAAAGATAAGAAGGCACTAATCGAAATGTTTGTAGATGTCATACTCAACTTGATAGGGTGGAATGCTTCCCTTTAGTATAGCATGCATGCAGTGACCCATAATATTAATTTAACTTTGCATACCCAAATGCATTTACTCATTTGATATCGATGAGGTTTTCAGTGGAGGCAAAAGAGCATAATATAAGAAGCAATGCACAGGCAATGCAGGGGGCCTGCCGCCTGCATCCTGTGCTTCTTATTAATGTGTCCCTAAAGCTGTCTGGACAAGATGATCGATTTGCTCTTATCTGGTATATATGCGCATGTCCCCAATGTTCAACTACTTCTGTATGCCTTTTCATTTCGACAAATTAATTTGGGAAAGCTCATAGGGTTAAGGTACAATATTGTTACATATAATTGGTCTCACACAATCATAGAAAAGAACAAAAAATATCGGTGACATGAGAGAATATATATAACAAAATAGATCTTAGCTAGCTAGCTTGCATGGTTGATATTTTGTAAAATAACTTGCTCATTTATTGCACTGAATTGTCACAATGCATAAGGACTAAGCAGTGCAGATGTAGCCTTGTCATTTGCTTCATGCATACATGCATGTGTGCATGCAACTAATTTCCTTGAGTCAAATCATATGTTTAGACTTGGAACAATTTATTACGTTTTAGATACCCTGCACTTTCCTCACTCTCTCCTTCCAAATGGACTGACCGACGATTCGTGCATGATCCTAATAATATTACTAACATGATTCCGTATACGCTTGCAACAATATCTAATTCTTGATGAACATTATCTGGGAAAAACTTTACTTCAATAAAAAAAAAGTTAACTAACCTTGTCCCTAATTTCCTTAACATGCATGCTAATAAACCTTATCACTACTTATTTTTCTTCGCATACTTTTTCTTTCTTCCATTAAAAAGGGCTCGTCGAGACCATATGTTAGTTGTCCCCAAAATCTTTTATTATATATAGCTCATGGAATTGACTTGTTGATAGGATGACATGCATTATACACACGCAATATTAGAAAAGATGAAGCTATTGAACAATGTTAACAATAATTGCTCATGTGGGTCATCATTCGTTATTGTTTGATGTAAGTTTAACACTGTAACTTATACAAATATTTATTCATCTATTGACCAACAATAGTTGTTAATTTCCTTCTAATTGAAACAAGAACATAATGACTCATGGTCATCAAGACCCTACATTGTGATTAAATGGAGAGCTTAGAATTTTCTTAAAGTGCACCTGAAGGTCACTAAAACTTGAGTGCTGAAAATTATTGTCCACTAGCGTGTGGCAATTGGTTTTTTATTATTATTTTAATATTATTTATTTAAAATATTGTTTTTTTATAAAATAATAAACTTACTAACCACCTTACATGTTTTTTGAATTTCATTTATCAAATTTTTAATGCGAGAAAGACATTTTGAGTATTATGGAATCTTCACTATTTTGACATTCTCCCCTTTATATGTATATGGATAAAGTAACGGGTTTTTTCTTCCTTGAAAATTAAAATATATGCATACACGTTTTCTGTTCGAAATTTACAAGTCAGACTTCGAGCTATTGATCATTTTTTACCTAAAACCCGAAAAAAGTGAAAGAAGGATTAATTATTACAAAATCTTTCCAAGCTCCCCCAAGAGATCTCCACATGTGAGTGTCCAATATGAGGGTGATGGTAAAAAATATGTTTTCATTATTAGAATTGTAAATTGATATTTATTTTATCCGTAATCGATAAAACAAATTATGTTAAAGGATGAGTCATGACTCATTTTCTTTTCTAACCAATCAAATTATTAGATTTTGTAAACATCCCATGCTTATCATTTCTTTATATGGTTATGGTCAAGAAGACAAATCAAGATCTTATTCTAATTGCGATTAAAGTAAAGAATCTGATCATAATTGCTGTTCATTGGCCACTCACATCAAAACTTGGATAGCAAAAA